ATTTGATTTTTCTTTTTCTCTGTTTTATTTTATTTGTTCAGTAACAATAATAGTTTCTGAATTTTATGTGTTTTTAAGGTTGAATAGCAACGTTCGGATTGATGTGTATAAACATTATCTCTCAAAACACAATGCACTAGACATTGTTTCCAGTTATGATATTGTCGCCGATTGTACGGATAATGTGTCTACAAGTTGTGTGCTTTTCTGGTTTCTTTCAGAAAACTCCTGAAATGGAAGAGTTGCAGTCTAAATTTGTTGTAGCAAATTTGGTTTGGAAGTTTCAGGCTTCAAATTTAAGGATCATTACAACCGTACTGAATAGAGAATTCAAACATTTACAACACCTTAGAATGGAATAAACTAACTTTTTTTTGTGTTCATTATTTTTAGGTATTTGGTCAATGATGCTTGTATATTAATGAAGAAACCACTGGTGTCAGGAAGTGCTGTTCGTTGGGATGGTCAGTTGTCCGTGTACGGTTATGGTGAGGTAAGGATATGCTTGAGATTTTCAGTACTGCTGAAACTGCAGCGAAAAATGTTGTGTTGGTCTATAGACGGTGCAAGTTTTCAATTTCACATTTTCCTTTCATACAGTGAGTCAAACTGAGCTTAAAAAATGATATTTGAAAATTTCGTTTTAAGGGTTGTCCATGTTACCGCTGCTTGTTTCCTAAGCCTCCTGCAATAGATGCCGTAACAAAATGTTCAGACAGTGGAGTGCTTGGACCAGTAGTTGGTGTAATCGGTAGTATGCAAGCCGGTGAAATCATTAAAATTGCTGCGACCAAAAAAAGTCTTTGATTTTGAATTTCCATTCTTTGTAACCTTTTGTTTTGTTATGCCAATATTTAAGATGTTGTTGCAAAATGGTAATATTACTCTTTTTAAACGTAATGATGTTACTGTTAGCTTTGTTTATCGGTTTATTTCAGGCTGCTTTGCTGGTTTCTTGTATTTGTTCAATGCTTTAAATGGTACATCCAAAACCATCAAATTAAGACAGCAAAAAGATGATTGTGCGGTGTGCGGTAAGAGACAAACAATTACTGAACTTGGAGACTGTAAAGAATTATATGGGTGTTCAACCAGAACATGTGTAAGACTATTAATTAAAAAAAAGAGACAGGTTGGAAGGAACATTATTTCTAGATGATAGTGATTTTGCTGGGAATGCGATATCCGTTTAACTTAATTCTTTTCCTTGTTAAATACAGATATCCTTGCTCAAGCAAAGGAAAGGAAAACTCGTACAAATTCCAAGGATAGAAGAAAAGATTTTAGTTAGTCTGTAAGGCATTGTTTGTTGAAAAATAAATCATGGAATTAGAGCTTTTAAATGTAGTAAACTGCCTTTTATTTCGAGAACAAAAGGAATTTTTGACATGAAGTATTTAATGAACAAAATATAACTAACAATACATATAACAAAGATTATATAAGGCAACTGAGGTCATTATTTAGCGAACCGATGTTACTTTCACTTAAATGCTAATTAACAAGGAACATTGCTTGGGTTTGTATATATCGATTCAAATAGAAATAAAAGCAAGTTGCTATGTCAGTAGCTTTCAGACCAAGATGCTGACGGAAAATGATCGTATTGATCCATATTCTTATTTCATACTCAGTGAAAACAGTGGCAAGAAGCCAATTTTGATAGATACAAGATGGCCTCACGAGTTTAGCATTGGGCATCTACCAAATGCTATCAGTAATTTCACTAATTTCTTTTGGCATACTGATGTATTATATTGGACATTCTTTTTGATATTAAAAGAAACTTACGATTTTCGAGAATTAAATCTCACTAACACTTTCCAGATATACCGATATTAAAACTCTGTTGTTTAACCTCAACAGATGTGGTGCGCGAATTAGAAGCAGACATCAACGAAATGAGAGATAGAGGAGGTTTAGTTTTTGCAGTTGTGAACATAAATTTCTTTTCTTTTTTCATCTTATTCAACCTTCCATGTGAGTTAATTTTCTTCAGAAGTAATTCTTACATTTTGGAAATATTCAGGAACAGAGTATGTTATTAAATATTTAAGAAAAAAAATGTGAAGCTAGTTTCGTAAAGTTACATGATGGTCATTCTAAGACTACTGAAACAAATGATTTTTGCGTTGGAACTTCAATAATTTTTATGCAAAAGAAATGCAAGTGGAATCCTTTGGGTCAAAATGGAAATTTCTGTTTTCCAAAAAGAAAATCGGTACAAGAATGTGTGACTGAATATGACAACATCTAAGCGTTAATTCGAGGGACTCTGAAGTTCGTGAAATGTGTAGGTATTCTGAGTGCTGAGTTTCGGAGAAGGGATCACTGGGCTGGTTCCTTAGTCGTATCTTGCCGAAAAGACTAATATCATGTCAGAAATGTGTTTTACTTTCTGATCTATTTCATTCATTACCTTCGTGTATTTTGCAGTTTACGTGATTTGTCGTAAAGGTGAAGATTCGCAAATAGCTGTACTGTATTTACGTAAAGAATTTGCTGATTCTTTGGTTCCCTTCAAGGATATCAACGGTGGTTATGAGAATTGGTCGCAAGCTGTTGATAAGGATTTCCCAATTTATTGGAACACATAATTTGTTCTTGTGAATTTTACCTTTCCGGATAAATTCAGCAATTGATTCTTGCTCAGGAATAAGATGAATTTTATTGACGAAACTTTGCAAGTGAACTCAATTAATAAATTCACGAGTCAGTTTTCTTTCTGTTATGTTTCTCATATTTTTTAATACATGGAAGTCATTACCTCACAAACTCAGCATATTTTTGTGTTTATCGTTAATCATTGTTGCATCGATATGAAATTACTGTTTTACTTATGTTGTCATACCATTCTTAATATTTCTAATTGCTTTTTCAAACAATTATTGTCATCATCACTTTAAGATTTAAACTTCAAAATTAATGTTTGCTCTCATTAAGATTTTCTTTGTCCAATTCTTGTGTTAATGAAATAAAGCTTTGTTTTCGTTTTATCATTAAGTATATTAAAGTTTTCTTCAAATATTCAGAAATATTGCAGAATTGACCTGGCAATTCGATAGGTGCAATGTGTTTCGTGCTTGTGTCTTATACTGGCATGGAACCTGAATAGGTCACTTGAAGGTGATCCCTGATGTAACCTCCCAAATCATAGTTTATGACCGTAGGAGGTTTTCAGTGGTTCGCTTATCTTCGGTCTGAAATATGACACCAGTGCATCAGCACACAAGCAAAGATTCTAAGTGCGGTTTAGGTAATTTCGAAGACTGGATTTGTTGCTGATGAGTGGTAGAGAATATTTTTCCACAGTTTGTTTCTAGGAATGCGAGTTGCGGAAGTGATAATGGGAAAAGGGAGTGGAGTGCGAAATATGTACTGAAGTTTACTGGATTGCCAGAGAAAATAGAAATATGGTTACGTTCCAGTAACTGTTTTAATTTCAGTTATTGCTTTTAATCATGAAGAAATCAAGCAAATATGGATGAATAGTAGTTCACTGTTGAGCAACATGCACCACCTAGAAGCACAAACAACCCATAGAATGCAATCAGTGAATATACATATAAATGATTTTATCCCACGAGTGACGAAATATCAGAATTAGAAATGGAGTTTGTCATTTCAGATGCTAATAAGACGCGTTCTTCACACATTTTGATTCAAACCATAATTATGCGGTGTCTACTTAACACTTCTGCATCTATAGCTTTCCTAAACCATTCTAATCGATTAACTTATCAGTGTTTACCAACCCTCACATTCGCAAACTCCGACAACAGTTCATTCAAGTTTAAATATGTAAGGAATATGGATGACTGTACTGTACATGTTGATACAATGGTGTATGTGTTTGTGTGTGTGTGTGTGTGTGTATATGTATGTATGTATATATATATAGAGGGTATCTACATATCGATTTCTCTGGTTACAGTGCAGGGAAATGGAAGCAACATTAGCTTCCAAATAGTGAACTCCACTAAACAGTTTGTTGTCTCTGTCAGTGACACCACCTCGTAACTTTAGATAGTTCTGCAAATAGTATTCCACCCAGTAGTTCCACTTGTGTTAGCAAACACTTTGCAACTTGAAGTCCGGAACTAAAATACCAAGGCTTTCATCTGAAGTACATGTAAGGAACATTTAGAAATGATAGTTTATTCGAGAAATTGGATTTCTCATTTAATGTTTTCCTTGAAGCTATCATAGAAGCCTTCGATTTTAGGGGGAGACTGTCAGGTACATTCTCGTTATAAAGTGAAATAATACAATATGTAAAAATTAATAATTAAGACCAGTCTTTTGGTAGATCAGCTGCAAAGCTGTCATGCAAACCTAGAACAATATATTGTTCTTGAAGCCGTATCCAAATTGCTTCTTAGTTTTTAAGCGCTACATAACATATTGAGGTGATCAGTGTGAATTAGACCTAGCTACTGCAAAAGATTCTTAGGATCATACTTTCCGTTTGTGATTCTAATAATTACAAACATTTGTGTCTTCTAAATTTGACTTTCAAAAATTGATAATTTGAGTATCTGGCTGTCTTATCGGAAATAAATTTCAGCGTGACACAGGAAGGAAAAAACTGTTCCATTAATGCGTTGGAATATGCTATGAAATAAAAATAGAAGACACTGGTGATTATAATTTCGAATAAAATTGTTATGCTTGTGTCCATGTTAAATTAGGAAGGGATAAAATGCTCCCTACAACCTCCCATTTACACTTTTAATTCATTCAACACCGTTTTGAAGCAGAATATCATAAGGCCAGTATTCTTATTTACTGTGATTTCTCATCAGTTTATACATTCCAGAGTGTTTCTATCTTCTCTTGAAATTAATTCATGTATTGTAAATTAATTCATGTATTGTAAATAGTTGAGAAGTGGGCACACGTGTTGTCGAGATCTGAAAAACTCCATCTCCATCAATCGTAATATGTTTGGAAGGTAGGCAGCTAGGCGCATACGAGCAAATTCTGCCTAGTTCATGCGTTTATTCATAGTTGTAGGGTTCAGGAAAAAGAAGAAGTGGAAAAGTCAGGGAAATCAGCTGATCATTAGGAAAGTAGTGGGAGTTGTAAACAGTGACTACTGATGGACAATATTTTGAGTATTCATTAATGTTAATGCATGGTATGAAGTCGCCTGTTTTAGTGAGAGTATAGCTCTTAAGCGAGACGGGTACGACATGTGATGACCCTCCTTGAAGTGATCGACTTGGACACATGTCTGTGTACTCTTGCTGTAAGCGTCGCTTGTGAAGCATCAATAAAGCCAGAAATCGCCCAATAGGCATACCCTTTCTCAACTAGAAAACTCGACAAATAGTAAAATAGGACTGTTTCAATCGAATAATTAGAACGGCGGTCCATTCTGTTTTCAAAAAGGTAATCGGGGACATCCACTGACAATGGAATTATAAAGTACGATTTTTGTTCTAATCAGATCCTCATTCTCCTGTATCTTTCCGTTTTCCTTTCTTTTCTCTATTGCTTTTCATGAAAATCCAAATACACACTTAAGTGTCATCTCCCTTCATTTTTGTTAATCATTCTTTTATCTAGACACTTCCAATGCTTGCGTCCTTTCTTGCTCAATTCATCTTTGAGGACAGTTACTGCATTCCACTCTATCAACCACTGAATTGTTCGGCTTTTTCTCGATTTCCCAGATTTTAAAGCTCTAACAACGTAAGGCTTTACAGAAATGCTCGCTAATGTATGTCGATCGATAACATTATATGTGATTCTTTAAAAGAAGAAATGGAGTGGTATATAGTACGTACCATTACTGTTTTGCTTGCCATACGTAGCTATTTTTTCTAATCATTTCAGTCAGTGGAATGTTATATTTTCATTTCTTTTTTATTTAACAAACCAATAGTTTATTACTTTTTCTCACTGCAACCTGTGGAGTAATAACGTCTTGTTGATATCAAAAATAATGTTCTGAAAACTGGATAATTCCATTCAATTCTTCTGTCGGTTGGGTTGATGATGATAATCGATCATATAGCAGTGACTTTGACTTGTTTGAAACTTTTGGCCCGGATCATGATAGGATGTCTGGGTTGGGCTGTGAGCTGATATTTGAAAAAGTCTGTAATTCCAAATCATACATGAAAAAGGAAGAAAGTAATATTGGATGAAAGAGAGTTTGAAGTATAAGTTATATGTAATCCTCGAAATTTTATTCCTTCTTTTGATTTAAACTGAATTTCAAGTTGGAGAAAGCTTCACTGATCATTGGAAGTGTACCACTCTTACATATCCAAAGAACGTTACACCCGTTACTTTTTAAGGACTCGTTTACTTCAGTAAGCAAACTGTCACATCTTTTCATTAAGAAAGGGTTAAAAGTGGTCGACTAAATGCGTTGTTCAGGAATGCCACTACAAAAGTGTTGTCCTTATTAAATCGAGATGACGGAAAAGTGTATTTCTTTTAGTTTGTGAACTTATTTCATTTGTATTGATATTTATACTCTTAGCTCACTCCAATTACAGCGTGCAACTCTGGAAATACCAACATTTTTGTTAACAATTCACTTGCTTTCACATGTTCCAAATGGAACCTATTCCGGAGGAAGATCACGACCTCGCTTCATTTTCACCTGCACATTCTGTTAAGCATGAAAAGAAGTCTCGATTAACGGAAGTGTATACATCTGAACAAGTAGACACTCTTGTAAGGTATGTTTCATTCTTGTGAAGCATGGATCTATGTTACATCAAGCGATGCAATTCATTAGCTGATAAGAATGAAAATTGGTGTTTTAAGCCTCTGAGGAGTGCGGAATATTGTTGCGGTTAACATGTTTTTAATATTTCTTGCAAGTAATATGATATACGTCAGAACTGCTTTTTGAATTTTCAATAAATGTTGCAGCACAGTACCTCAATCATCAGTACCGAATACATGGAAGCTAAGGAAGAAAGATGAACTAACACATTCAGTGTATTTTTTTTTTTTTTTTAAATACGAAACAAATCCAAAATTAGTTTTGCTAATTTTCTGGATGGTGTCACTATCATTTGAAACAGTTTTTATAATTTCTTGTAGTCTGTAATTAATCAGTTTACTGATCTCACATTGCTCCAGTATCCCTTCAACACATTTGTCCGAAGCATTATCTGGGTCAACTAGTGCACGCGGCTCGACGTATTCTTATACTTATGAATCGCATTATGATGAACCTCCCGATGAAGCACTACCCGGTGTTTGTTTTCTAAATAAAGAATTTAATGGTGACATTGAGCGGCATTCATCTCAAACAAAAAAAGTTCGGCTTTATCGTATATCTTTTGCCTGATTCAATTTCTGAGATATCTCTTATTATCATTTATTCAATCTTACACTTTATTTAGCGTCATTGCTGACTCTGATGTATTAGGAATAATACAGGTGATAGCAGTTGCATAATTATTTTTTGGAAAATTGTAGATAACTCGCGTTACAAAAGTAACAACAACCAGATCGGTGCGCCATTTACCAGTTGCTGATGAAGAAGTTGAATATTTTTTTGATGCTGATGGAAGTCCATTACCGTTTACACGTATTACTCAGCCGTATGAACATGGTAATCACCACTCATCGTGAAAGGGATGACAAATCTACAAATTTTAAATTTAATATAATGCATTTTAAACACAGTAAATCGTTTCTTTTGGTATTGATGCTACTGCAGATGAAGATAGTTCCTTCCAACATGACGTTGATTATGATGCACCACCACCCGCACCAAGTTCTTTTAATGAAGCTGAACATTGTGCTTCACGGGGTAATTTTTTTAGTAGTGCATATTTATTCTGGATTATTTTTGAATGCAAGAATTTTGATATTTTTATTTCGATGTGAGATTAACAGTGTTTGAATATTTTTGAAATAAGATATGTATGCCAAAAGCTTTATAAAAACTGGCATGTACTATTTACCCTGGAGAACTGGAATTGAAACCATGTACAATTTAAAATTCAGATGTCGGAAATAGAATGGTTTCAGTCCTGCAAGTCTCACTCTATAGGAAGATCATACATATATTCGATTTGATATGTAGTCATCACACCATTGCTGAGAGGTGTGACTATTTATGATGCTAATCAATTCATTTGAGAAAAGCTATTATATGAATAAATTCTTCAGATGTTCCAAATGCTCCAGGCGTTCCAGAGATTACTGATGTGACTAGCTATGATATTGGTTTGACATGGCGGTGTCCAGATATGCAAGGGAGAGCTGGCTCTGTTATTGGTTATCAGGTAATCTTGCACAGTCAGCTGGATTTATGGTTTAGTTCAAATGAGGCTTTTGTTCAGGTTGAAATACGTGGGGTTGGAACTTCTGAATGGTATCTCTCTCATGAAGGTCTGATCAAAGGAAACAGGTTTAGAAGTATGTACTTAAAATCACTGTGTAGTTTCCACAATTTCATTTTTGTTTGCACTGTGTAAGATATTGTAAAAAACCTGCATTATGTTTTATACTTTTTACAGAAAATTTATAATATTTTACACCTAGTTTTCGTAATTAAACTGATTGTTTAAAAAAAAAAGAAAAAGAAAAACTCCGGGATATTATTTAACTTCTCAACTTATGGTAATGCGCTTCCAGTAAAAGATCTCAATCCGAAAGTCGAATATGAAATAAGAGTCGTTGCTGTTAATTCGGCAGGTCGTGGTGTACCTTCAGCCACTTCACAAAGTGTGCAACTGAGATTGGATTATGATTCACATTCTGATTTTAGTAAGCTTATGCTATTATTTGATAGTAATTTACAATTATATTGAAGTGTATGATTCAATTTCTTCAGATAGTTGGAGAGGAACGGCTCCTGGTCGACCTTACGTGTTGCTGCTTGATTCTGATCGCATTGTGTTGGAGTGGGCGCCAGCAATGGCAAATCCTGGATCTGCACCCGTTGCTGGTTATGAGGTGAATTCTGAACTTAATTTGGAATCACTGTGTTGTTGATGAAGATTACTGGATTACATGAAAAGAATGTCTGTGTCTGAAAAAACCCAGAGATAACTTATTTCAGTGATTTTTAGTGTTTTTGGATATCGCTAATTTTTCCTATGTTTATTTTTACTTTGTTAGGTTAGTTATCGTGCAGATGGCAGTGACTGGATGCAGTCAAATGATTATCTTATAACAGCATGCAGAACTGAAGGTTTGAACTTCATTTAATATGCTTGTGTTCCCAGTTAAATATAATACCAGATGTGTTTATGTCCTGTCATTAACATTCTCTCAGAAATGGAATATATATAACATACTGTATATGGCCATAAAGGATTTCATAAACGGTCATTTTATTCATCATTAATTATTTCATCAGTCAGCTTTTTGGCCAGCAATATACAGTTTGATAATTATTTAATATTTCTATTTTAACTGTCATTCGGCTTTGCAGTACTGAATTTGAAGCCGAATGGAGAATACGAATTTCGAGTGATGGCGAAAACTGCTGATGGGCCGTCTAAACCAAGTCCGTCGTCTGGTTTTATTCGACTGAAACCGCCTGTTCCATCTCGCATTCCACCTACAACAAAGGCAGAAAGTAGCTTTTCTCCTCCTGGACAACCACAGGTTCGTGAAAACTCTCACTAGGTTACCGGTGTTGGTAAAGTTTCACTAATACAACCAATATAGGTAAAGTTAACAACAATGCAAATTATCGGGGGAGGAACATGCATTTTATTTCTTCTATCTCGGAAGACAGTGAACACGTTTTTGATACATCGTCATAACTACAATATATATGTTTTTTTCATTTTTATAGATAGAGGAGCTTGAATTGAACTGGGTACGCCTGCATTGGACAGAAGGTGGATCACCAGATAATCCACCGGCATCATATATTGTTGAATATCGGGAAGTTGGTGACCCGCTCTGGTATACCGCTACAACGACTGTCTATATCACGTCCTATACCGGTAGTTTTAGAAACGTCTTTTGTTTTTACCCTCTGATGGTCTGAAATGATTTTTCCGGAACAGTCCAAAATAAGATATCTTTAAATTTTTCTTAAAAATGAAGCATCGTGTTTCAGTGGAATGCCTCCGTCCAAATTCCACTTACGAATTCCGCGTAGTTGCACGTGCTCGTGATGGTAATGTATCTGCACCTTCAGTAGTTTCTGATGTTATACAACTACGACCGTCCATCAGATCTGGAGTCTTGCACGAAGTTCCAGCAAAACCGCAACCACCAGAATATGTAGATTTCTGTGACAGCGACCGTGTAACACTCTGCTGGTTTCCAGCTGCGAGTTCTTTACCAATACAGGTAAAGTTAACAACAATTCGAATTATCAAGAGAAAAACATGCAATTCGTTGCTTCTACCTCTGGCAGCCTTCAGAAATAGTTTTTGATGCCTTCCAGGGCTATGATGTTGAATTCCGAGATCATCAGCAGGATGCTGCTTGGTACAAGGTTAATGAAATGCTTATTCGCTCCTGCAAAATGACAGGTATTTTACATCTTTTCATTCTTTTCCAAATGTTATGTGATCAGTTTTGCTGAAGCGTACCGTTGAAATAGCTGTTTTCAATCCATCATTCCAAAAAATTGATCAAACTTAGTTGTTAAAATATCAAGATTTTTAATGCACTACAACTAGGAGACCTATTGTCACTGTGCTCAGAAAACTGATTGTATATTATAGCATTTGGATGTTTTTTGCAGTTGGTGATCTCATACCAGGTCATGAGTACCAGTTTCGCGTTATAGCATGTAATTCTATTGGATACTCAGTACCTTCAGATCCTTCTCCTGGAGTACACATAGGAATACCTTGCAGTAATTGCTTTACTGATAGTTCTTTTTTTTTGATAAAGATGATTAGTTTGTTATTTTAATAAAGTGCATTGCTGGCTTTATGATTTTTCAACTTTTGTTTTAAGATGGCAACGAGTGTTATGTGGAAAAAGCAAGTTATGGAGCTGTTCCGTTGCTTCAAGATGAAATTGTACGCGAATCGCCACCTCTGCCTGATCGTGATGATTCTCCACCACCGATACACAGAAAATTTCTTCGTGCAAGAGACGGTTGTTAGTTTTTCAATATGTAATGTATATTATATCTTGGTTTTGAAGTATTATCTAATGTATTTTTTAAATGCTAGTAGGTGCTCTAAAACTTTCAGTACACTGGAGAGATCCAACGCTGAGGGAGGTGATTGAGTATTTGGACAGTGCAAACAAGGTCGAACAACTCAATGCGTCTGGCTACTTGCAGCATTTAACTTATAATGATAATGCTATTAAGGAAGAAACGAGGTAACTTTTCCTCTGGAAAGCTTTTTCATGGTTCTTCATGAAGTTACTTAATTCATTAAAGAAAGTTATGAATAATTTTTGCTTCAGGTAGAGATAGCAATTTGATTTACAGAGAATTAGATGGTATTCCGAGACTTGTTCGTTTACTTGGTAGTGATGTACCCGATATACAAAAAAACGTTTGCGGTTGCTTGAAAAATCTATCATTCGGGAAAGAAAATGATGAAAATAAGGTCAATCTGTTTTGTATAAAGTGATATTTGGGACGAATCGGAGTTTCTAGAAATGTTTGAATAATGTAACACGTCAAAAATCCTGCAAATTTGAGATTTTTTTTTTAGCGTGCTATTAATAACGCAGGTGGAATTATTGCTTTAGCGGCTTTATTGAGGCACACTCACGATGCACAAGTGATGGAAGAAGTCACTGCTACTCTGTGGAATCTCTCAAGCTGTGATGTAAATATTTTAACTATGATTTTGAAATAACTTGTGATGTACGTTTATATGAGTTCCTGAAAGTAAATAGAATGATAAATTTCCAGGAGTTGAAACCAATAATACTTAGTCAAGTTTCGGAGCCAATAAATCAACGTATTGTTATACCTGGTTCTGGATTGACTGAGAGTAATGCGGAAAGTGGAAGCAATATATCACATAGTATCAATATGTTTAAAAACGGAACTGGCGTTTTAAGGCAAATTTTTAGTATTTTAAAGGATTTTGCAGCATTATTTTGCAAAATTTTGAACCATCCTTCCTATAATGAAATTATTTTCAGCGACTATTTGGAATTAGAAAACGTCATAGATTTTCAGGAATGTTTCGGCTGCTTCCTCAAGTGCCCGAAAAATACTTCGTGGATGTCCTGGTTTGGTCGAAAGTCTCGTACACTATTTGCACCATGCAGTTTCAAGAAACCAGATTGATGCACGTACCGTCGAAAATGTTGTGTGCACTTTGCGTAACCTCAGTTACCGGCATGTTTTATTTCACTTTAAAGTTTTACTAAGCAAGAAAGTTACAGTGACAAACAGTTTGTATTTTCCTAGAATCCAAGAAGTAAAGGACAAGAATTACGATCCCAAAGCTGATTTTGAAGCTACGCAACGGGAGCGCGGTAAATCAGCTCCTTCAGAAAGTCCCAAAAACAAGAAAAAAGAATCTAGTAAAAAGAAGAAAATCGGACAGCATACTGCAGTAAATGTTTCAGAAAGTATGGTGGTACGTTTTTCGTATTTCTTTCCATTGTTCTTAATAATGTATGTGATGATAGGAAAGCATTGTGACATAAACACCCAGTTTTCCTTTTGTTTCTTTCCCGTTGAGTTTTGCATCAAGTCATAATTTATGAACGAATAAGATCAGTTCTAAATAAAAAGCTTTTAGGGAGCAGAATTATTATGGCAGCCGCAGCTGGTGAAATTATATCTCAAGTTGCTACAGGAAACGTCGAACCCTGAAATTCTGGAGGTAATATTTCTGAATACAAGTTTGAAGTCAGCATTTTACTCCTTTCTTTTGCTCAGTACGCATTCACTGAAACTGCATGTTCTGTTGCGATTAAGCCTGAAATTACTGTTATTCATTAAGAAGTCTTGGTAAATATGGCTTTGTTAGGCATCTGCTGGTGCAATACAGAACCTTGCTGCCTGCCAGTTCGAGCCATCAGTTAATGTCAGGACCTGTATACGCACAGAAAAAGGTTTGCCTGTGCTTGTGGAACTATTAAGACTGAATGACGACAAAGTTGTTTGCGCTGTAACAACAGCTTTACGAAACCTGTCGCTTGATCAGGTCATTATTAGCATTTAATTGAAATCTGTCAAATTTCTAATATTTTTGCTTCTAAAAATCAAAAAATCAAAAGTATTCGTTGAGGCTTCCAATCAGTATTTTTGATTAAGTTTTATATGATTTTTAGTTACATAGTACAAATGCGAAATGTATCTGTTGCAGCGAAATCGCGAACTGATCGGTAAATATGCAATGAAAGATCTAGTGGCAAAGCTGCCTCGAGCTGACCAACGATTTCGAGATCCAAATGTGAGCGATGCAACAATTGGAGCAATTTTGGGCATATTATTTGAAACTGTCAAGCATTCTGCAGACTTTACAAGGTTCCAATCTCTCTAGATTTTTCCAGTGATATTTATTGTGGATGTTATTCTCACTTAGAAATGAAATGAACCTATTCGTTATTCCAGAAATATTCACGAATGTGGAGGAACTGACCGACTACGAAATTTAGCCAGTTCACATCCTATGTACAGCAGTCGCATTTGTAAATATGCATCACAGGTTGTCTACATTTACCCTTCCCTTGCTTTTTTCAATTCATTGCAAGAAGCAACTAACAGTCTTGTCTGTACATTCTCCGATGGATTTATAACTTCAACTAAATAGATTTTTGAATCGACACTAAATAAATAAACAGTAGACGTTGAAAAAAAGGCTGCAAATAACCGAATGCATTGTATAACATCTGATATTGTTGGGGATATCTCGCAGGTTCTTTACTTGATGTGGCAGCACAAAGAACTTCATGATGGCTTCAAGCGAAGCGGTTTAAAAGAATCAGACTTCTATTCGGGAACAACAATTCGCGCCCGTGATACAACAACACTTTCTCGACCAATATCATCGCAAGGCGCTGAGCGGCCAACACATTTAAAAAGTGAAAATCTCGATGACAATGCGAACGCATGCGGTATCGGGCGATATGATACACTGGATAGTAGGGTATGCTGATTAATGATTGTTTTTTAAAATATGAAACTTTCTTGGCCTAAAGTTATGGCCTTCCTTAAATGTTTGGGTTATAACAAGTATTTCCTTGTTATTTTGACAGACTTATGTAAAAGTCATCCCTATTTGTATCTATTTGACAATGATCTCTTCTTGCAGGCCAATGCAGTAAAAGATTGTGCATATGGCAAGACTTCGCCAGAGATTAATTCGCTAAATCTTTACAAAATCACAATACCAGAATACATTAATTTAGATCCTTTAATGAAGTTTATTATTCAAGGGAATAATAATGCTAAATCTTATTCGGCTACGCTAGTACGATAGTGTCCAGAATTTAATATAATGCCAAGACAAAACACTGTTCAAATTTTTTTATTGTCAGCTGTATCGTTAAATAACTAAATTCTACTTGAATTTGATTAAGTTTGGCTTTTTTTTTTTTTTTTTTTTTTTGAGGAACCCACTTTCCCTACATTTATTTACTTGAATATATTTTATCTTCTTACCATCTTCTATAATTATATTTCCTTTATCACGTGAATAAGAGTGACTCTAGGTTAATAAGAATTTTAAGGCTGGTGAACCACTATACGCTTCGGTACACAAGCGCAGTGAACGTTGCGGCTCAACGGGTGGTGATAGTTGGGTGTGAACAAAATTTGTATATGTTATCATTATTCAACAGCTGGAACGAATAAGTTTGCAAGAAATTTGGAACTAATTTTGTTGAAATGATTCTCAACCGATGATAGCACATTTCATATTGCATGCCATACTGGTGATCATTCCTTATTTTAACATATATTGTTCAGTGGTACTTTTATCCGCCATTAAGCCACTAACTGTTATTCCTTTGTGCTTCATTCATCTCCGTTACTTAAAAGTACGGTTTTTTTTCTTTTTATTTATTTATCAATGATTTCATAAAGGAGAATTTAGGGTGCGTGTTTTATTTCATCTTTTCCACTAGAAAGCTTGTATCTTTAAAATTTCGATATTTAGAACCTCTGAAGAAATTAAAACCGTGTAAGACGAGATCTCTATTATTACTATGCAGCTAACTGAAAAGGGATAGTGCAAGTTGATGATTTTGAAGATTTTTAGATTTGTCAGTTTCGAAAACTTCACTTATCAATTCTTCTATACTACTTTAACCACTTACCATCTTGGGTCAGAAAAAAAAAAACCAATACTTATTGGTTTTTCTTAGTTGATTGTAGTTAAAGGCAATCTCTATGCTTTTTTTAATATCGCTGATAGATGGGAGATATGTTGTTTATTCCCTTTTTTTTGAGAGAGAGAGAGAGAGAAAAGGCAATATTTGCTTCATTTTAATGTTTTAATAGTACGGCGTATTCAGTTTCCAGCATAATCAAGGACTTATGTTTTTATATCTCGTTTTCCATTATGTTATCTGGGGTGTGACATTTTTCGCTGCTCATAAGGTTGTGGATATCTTCTGTTACAGTGCTTGTTGTTGATATTTTCTGTACTTTTTTTCTTAATTTGGTTATTGTTAATTATCATTTCAAATTGATATTCAACAACGATGATGATTCCTCAACAAATATGATAATTTTATGGTCAGGTTGTTCAATCAGTCGTAATACTTCACATAAATTTTGGTGATAAAAAAAAAAACGACTAAAAAAAAATTTGCAAATAAGTTATTTCCTTATTTTCTCAAAATTGAAACACTTTAATACCCGGAATATTGCTTCGAGTGTTATCCTCATTCACTTCACTTAAGGTTTCCGTGCTTTATTGCCCATTACAGTGTGTATATTTTGGGTTATATGTTCTGCTTCCAGAAATTTGCTATTTTGTATTTTCGTTTACCAATGAATTATTACCATATTTTGAACAGTTCCAGATCTCAAAGTACAGGAGTTAGTGCCGATTGCGTGGCGATTGTTCGCAACTTTCCTTTATCAGCACACGACCGAATTTCTATTCGTCTTTAATTTCAAGAAAAGCTCCATGTTTTATGAAATTATTTTCTGGATTTAAGAAATGCTGCTTTATGCTTACTAGTTATGGACAGTTGCATTGCAACTTCCTCCTTTCTGATATTTCAGTTTGGCAAATAGAAATTGGCAGTTGTTTGATTAAAGATAAGAGTTCGTCCAGCTAAAATTTCTAAAATATGCAGGGTTCCCTTTGTAGGTCTCAGTGTGTTTAAAAATCAGGCTGTTTTGTTTGCAAGTGATTGTTATTTTACAAATATAAGACTGTGATTGGTCATGACAAAGTACAGTGATTAAAATAGGTATAGTTCCAGTGCAGCGTGAATAATTGGAAACAGGAAGTTTTCGCGTGTTATGGTGATAATTGAGGTTGTGGTAAATAATGTAAGTCGAGTAAAGAGATTACATAGACTAAAAAGAGGAGTTGATTTCTTAATTAAGCAGTTGAACTGATTGTTTCTATTCAGGAGCCATTCTGAATATGTCTTCATTTTTCATTTGTGTTAAACTGCTATATAATTTAGATTGCGATTGTAAATTGTAATTTTGAAGAACTACTGTTGTCTGCCTGTAAGATAAAAATTGAATAGCAAGCTTCAGTGAAGAGTGGTGCGGCTTGTATCATCATTCACAGAACCACTAGACATGAAACAATGGGCCAAAATTAGTAGGAAATATCGGGCACTGATAGTAAGGAGCCAAAATGATCCCAAAATAAACAAAAAGAACGATAGTGATGCTGATTCCTTTGACAACATTGCTTTTTCACTAGTATTATTTTAGCTTATTACGAAGATGAAACGTTAAAAATTAATGCATGTAAATATCATTTGAAAATCTTTGTTGGTTTCTTAATAGTCGGGATATACTGTTTAGAAAAGAATTCCTCACTGAGGTCTGGTGGGCAATGACCTTTTTCATTAGATCAGTCAAAACTCTATTCTTCATTAGCAATATTTAGCTGAATTTTAATTGACATGAGCATTAAAAATGTAAAGCGTTTAGGCTTTTCGAAAAAAAACTGGGAATGTCTCCTGCTATTTTTAGCATATTTATTGGAATTTTATCCATGTGAGAATAAAACAGTTCTGGAAGTGGATTCTTTAAGTCTTATTTTTTCGATCAGTTTATAATTGCATAAGTTTCTTTTACACCACTTTAAATGAAGATACCTATTCACTATCACCTGTCAGTAGCTCTCTTCCATCAAATTTTAATAACATGGCATTTATTAATCATCAATAATGATTAATAATTTAATAGTCGGCATCAAAATCATGAAAATGTTACTAACTTCTGGCAGACTTAGGCATTTTAACCGTTAGACAGCAAGCATTTATTTATTTTACGAAATTGATGTTACGAGCTTCTTTGGCGCTCCTATTGCAGGATGTTTCCGATACTACTAAATTATCACTATAAATACGCATTTCAATGCAATTCCGCTGATGCGATGATTTTTTTTTTCTTCATCATATTTGCAGGAAGACAAGAAAGAATAATTTGCAGCATAAAAGCATTTCTGAGACATCAAGAAAAGCCATCTTTAAACATTTCATCTCCGGTAAATTAAAAATTTCTCTCCACATCTACAGGACTATTCGATGCAAGGACTGTTCAAGTGTTTAACGATCTGCGTATGTTTTAAGGTTTCTGCGACATAAGCAGTGGTAGACAACTAAAATTTACTCGAAAAGCTTTTTAAATTTAAGATATAGAAATTTAAAAGAATATTTCTTTAAAATTTAAAGATCAGTTCTTCCCAGTGAATGCACATATTTGAATCATGAGAGCACATTTGTGTATGCTTCGCATAATCTTTTAAAATTAACACTAGGAAAGCATAAAAAAGAATTTGTAAACTTGCCGAATGATTTATTTTTGCATAATTTCGAGATTGTCATGGAAAGGAAGCTTCATTTCGGTGAAAGACAAGAAAGTATATTGCGTAGAGAAGTTAGGAAAGTTGGTGCTGATAACATCAACTGAAAGACGGTTCCGAGGCTTTGAAGTGTCAAGTGAAATAGTAATTGACCATCAACAACACAAATCGGTAAATCGTTCATGTGAAGCATTCTAGCTCTCCAACCCTGACCTCGTAACTGTTTCATCCTTCCCTTGTCTCCAATCCTTCCATCATTTCGGGTCAGTCATTCTTGCACCGAAGAAATAAGTTTTATGCGTTTGAGGTCTAATTAAAAGGGATACTAAATACTTCTATGATCCATATTCCACACCATTTGCAAAAGCTCCTCTCACAACATCATTTGCATACATGAAAGCACCATTCCGCCCTTTCGTTTTTGCACACATTGCGACCACTGCCTCTGTTTCATCCAACTTGAAGTCCATTTTGAATTATTGACGTGGTAGGGGGTACAACATACATTCACGTGCCTGACACAGGAGATTTGTTCTCATTGCTGTGCTGTAGCTTTCTGATACAACAGAACCTTTAGATGAATTAGTATATTATTTGCTATCTACATTAATGAGACTTAATTTTCCCAATTAAATTCTTTTTTGAAAAAAAGATTTCTTTAAGAAACTTTTTGGATCTATTTGCAGGTGTACTGTCATTCGAAACAAGCTTATAAATTTCCTAGCTCCCATAGCATTGCGTGATTATGCCAGTCAGAAGTGATAAGTAAATAAATTTTAATAAATGTTCTCTCATAGTGAAGCACTAACTTTGTAATCATTTTGAATTTCTTCCAATATAAGACTTATATTACAGGTCGTTATATATGAAATTGAGTGAACCAAAAGACGAATTGTATGGACTTATATCCAAAATGATTAAAATAAATTTCCAACTTATTAACTTCTAAAAAGGCTTATAACATCAATCATTATAAAGTTCCGTTTAATAAATTTAATCGTGATATTATTGACATCTTTATCGAAAGTTATACGTTTTGCATATTGCGGGTGGTTTTGATATTTAATTAACATTCCTGGTTAGTACCAAAGCAATGAATTATTTTGGGAACATACTGATGACAAGCAGGAACAGGAGTTATTGCAGTACTTGTGTAGAGATTATGAAACAATAATATAGTATAAATAACCACTTTCTCAGTATTATTATATGATAAATGTCATTGCATCCGTCAACTTTTCATAATTTATGACAATTAGGTGAATAAATCAATAGTGCAAAACTCATTCCTATGCGTGAAGGGGATAGCAGAAATTATTTTAGTTTTACTGATTGAAACAGTTTTCGATTTTTTTATATTATCAGTGCAATTATTTTTTTTTTAATTCTGAATCTTCCAATTAAACATATCTGATCTGTTATTTAGTGGTTGTAATTCTACATTTTTATTTCAATAGTAATAAGGCATTATACCCATATAGAAATTACTACATCTCAATGTTTTCTAAGACAATCAGCAAAGGTCTTTTAGAAATATGTAATGGCGCCAACGATTTATTATTATGTAGAAGTATTTTGATGTGTACCGAAGGCATTTAGAAAGACAATCACTAACTTTACGCTGACTTCACAGCGATTTGTTGTTATCCTTTGACTAATAGCTCCAAAAGAATTGTACCTGTTCATAAAAACCGTTCCAGAAAATGTAAAGATTGCACTCCACTTTCTTGAAAGCAATATTTTCTAGTTTCAAGTTTCGATAAAATATTATGTGATCTACGTTAAAATTAAAATACAGAAAGT